CAGAAACTAGTTTAGATTTTTTTTAAAAAGTTTGCGCCCTTTCCTTTTCTGCTTTTGCCTAAGCTTTAAGTGATAGCTCTACTAGGGTTTTATGCTAGCTGGATACAAAGTGTCACTTGAAAGAGCTCATATAAACAACTAAGGAATATATCCTATAGCAGACACCGTCTATTCTTAAAGGACAGGAATATATACTGTTCATATCAATGAGTTCTTGAGGAATTTCAAGTACACTACAATTGAACTAGTTCAGTCTTTAAAAGACATCACTGAATAGAAATGTTCAGATCACTGACTCTTCATCAGTTTAGAAAGTTGTTTGTAGAGTTGGTTAGCTCAGTTACGGATTGGGTTTTTTCCCCCCAGTATGAGAAGCCAGCATAGCAGGTGTGTGGGTTGTACTGCACAGCTAGTTTTAACCAGCAATAGTAGTCTTGGGTTTTGCAGTACTGAGTGCCCGAATATGTGCAAAGGAAAATACAGTCCACGAACTGTCCTGAGGTTCTATCGCATCTGAAAACTAAATCTACTTTGTAAGAACAGAATGCCTCCCTCAGATTTTTGGCTCTAATCTCCCCCTAGAGACAAACTTTAGCAACTGATCTATGGTTCTTATTCACACCGGACTGTGCTTTGTTAGGTGCCTGGGGCAAAGATCTCTCCAGTGAGGGGCTTCAGTTCTGCAAAGAGAGAAAGTGGGGCCATCGGAAACTCAACCTGTTCAGCCTCAGTCCCCAGAGAACCATAAAGCCACAGCTTCCCTTTGTTTAAGGTGAACTCACCTGCACGTTCGTGGAAAGGATGTAGTCATCCCTCTCCCAGTCGCTCTTCTGGCAGTAACTGTGTCCCATTAGCTCTGCTAAGCCCCTCAGTGGGTTGCTGCGGGCTTTTTTGTGAAGCATCCCACTGTCAGATTTGCGGACAGCCTCTCCCTGACCCTTACTGAGTACCCTATGGATGCTCTGTGTGTTCCCTCCTACCCACTTTGGCACCTAACTTAAGGTTCTCATGAAAGTTCAGAGCTAAATCCACTCCCACCTCCAGCAAAAACAAAATTAGCAGTCCAGGCAAAAACTACCTTATTTTGTTAATGCTAATTAAACTAAAAATGGTATGCAATATAGCTAGTTTAGGCCATGCCGTTGAGTGAAGATAAACATACTGAAGATACCTTGGTAATGTGGTAAGAGATAGTCAGAAGTCATAAAATAGTGACATGTTTTTCAAAGAGCACTGTAATATGTTTAAAAGTTGATGAAACCTGGCAGCTGTGGTCCTCGTACTGCATTTACTGAGAAAAGCTTCCATTTATTTCCAAGTTACTATTACTTTTGAAGAGGTTTTATTCATGAAAGCTGATTTGATTGGCAATGTCCACACTGAATCTTATTGAATAAACAGTATGGCACATTTCACTAATTAATTGGAGAAAGCTGAAGAAAAGATTAAGCAAAAGCAATCAGAGTTTTTGAAAAGTCCTGGTATAATCTTCAAAGCACCATTTAACATAAACTGTTTCTTTTACTGACTTGCTCGTTTACTTGTAGCAAATACAATAGTAATGACTGTCAGTTAAATTTTTTTTGTTCTAATCTGGAATACAAAGTCATTGAGTGAAGTCATGTATGCTCTGCATGACTTGTGGAGGCAGCGCAGAGAATTCTTAAAGCAGAAAAGTTATTTGGCAGAGCGGTTGCTATAAACTCTTCAGTGCACACTTATTGTTGGCATAATTTTTTGGACCCACAAATTACAAAGCTGTGGAATACATGTTTGCATCATTTTATGTAAACTGCTGTGATTCTAGCCACCAAACTGCAGATATGCATAAAGCATTAAAGAGGACTTAGGAGAAGGAAGCTGAATGACAACCAATTTATATGTCGTTTTGTTCCTGGACACCACTTTGCCAACACAACATATGTTGTGTGCTGAATTTAGAGGCACACTCATGTCCGCTGTGTTGGGTTAGTCTAACACAACACAATAATTGATCCAGATATCAAACCCGTACAATTTGAGAGAAAATGAGGAGAATGGAAAGAAAAGGCAGACAAAGCTTTATTGCTTGCAAGTAAAACAACAATAGCGTGTAGGTACTCTGAATGGCATAATTACCAATATAGTTCATCAGGTGCGGGTAAAGACAGTAAATGCTGTGGATACTGTAGTAGTGTTCTGCGGTGGAAGAACACCTGATGCACTCCTGAACACTTAGTTGGGGAGGAACAATGAAATTCTGTATGTCTGAAACAGAAGATACTCCCGGGTTATTCTGAGGTCTCATGTTGCAACAGAAAACAGTTGATTTTGTTTATTTAGAAAAAAAAATTAAAAAGTATGTGAGTTAAGACTGGGAAGATGCTGAGGCACAGCTCCACTGAGGCCCTTGGTACCACACCTGTAATATCCCCCAAGTCTGCTTTCTAAGAGCAATGCCAGCCAAAACAAGGGTAGAGCTACAGTTCAGAGCCACCTTGCTCTGTCTTTTATTACCCCCTGACATTCCCATGCTATACTCAGCCACAGGAAGGCTTGAATAAAAAAAAAGTTGGCAGCTGAGTAGTATGAAAACTGAATTAAAAATGAACAGTCCCAATGAATTGGTGTATATAGTTAATTAAAAAAAAATAATAAAAATCCCAGCAGTGCATTGTCATGAATATCTGAGACCAGCAGCTAAAAGTTAATCAGCCTGTCGCAGAACGTGGCTATTAGCGTAGCGTATCTCAGTCTGACTACTAAGAAATAAGGGTCCCTACCATTAGGCTTCAACTTGACTCCTTTCAACAACAGTCCAACCTGTTCCTCACTGGAATCCTATTACGCTTTTCTAGTAAGGTGTTAAGACAACAACTCAGGCTTACTATTTATGGAGCTAGTGACTCTTAAAATATACTCTGGAGTAAGTGGCTATTCCTTTAATCTGTGACCTTAAAATTCAGCAAGAGTTGATGTTTTGTTGCTCTGATGTACTGAGCTGCCCATCAGTCACTGATCTAATCTGTCTGGTGCTGTACCATTTGCTTGCGTTGCTGTATGTGGTGGCAGCGTAGCTCAGTGGGGACATCCACTGTGAATTTAGATGTATTGAACTGTCTGTCGCCCAGTGTCCCCCCACACCAATATCCTCAGAGTGGGGCTAATAATGAAGATTATTTCTTGTTAAAGCTGAAGTAGGTTAAGCTGAGAAAGATTAACAGGAATGGTGAGGACATGGAAAGAGAGCAGAAAACTAATGACGACAGCCAAAATGGAGCTCTTTCAGCCAGATAAGACTTAACAGGGACCAAAAATGGAAGAACAACAGTTCCTCTACAAAGTTGCCTCACATCAGACATCACAGAACAGTCCATGGCATGACCTTGTGGCCAAGACAGGGCATGCCCACGAGCTCAAAGCCTGCAGGCACACAGGGAAGCACACGTTCTTTGGACTTCACATCTATCATGACACTTTGCTTCCCTCTCCCCCCAGCCTTGATTTCTGCTTCCTAATATATCTCTGCGTTGTAGCCCTTTAAAAGTGATTAGAAAAAGGGAAAGCATAAAACTAATAATCAGTAGCAAACATCAGGAAGCAGACCTGCTCTGTTCAGGATGGAGTCATGACCTCTGTAAAGGCAAAGCTATCAAACAGAACTTTCTAGATCACTTAGAAACACCTCATTAGTCCTTGTCATACTGGGACTTAGCTTATTGTGGAAAAGTCATTAGTTTCTTTTCAGATTCTCTGGAGAATTTCCAAAACCTAGCCCTTGCATTTCCTCAGGTTGTTCCTGTGTAAGTTCATATTTTAGCCCTCGTTAGCTGGTAAAGTATGTGCCATTCCATGCTTAAATTCATAATTATAGTAGCCCACTAAGGCAAAGCAGTCAGGTACTCTGCCATCGTGGCTTCCACTTCTAAATGGAGTTAGGCAATACCAAAATCGTACTTGCACCAGCCCTCCACTGAGGTTATAAAGTCTTTGGAAGCCATCGTAATTTAGGGAGCTCGTGTACACAGCCTGCGCATAGCATAGCTGTTAGACCATCATGTTATGTGTGAGGCCATTAAGATTTCACTTCAAACGTTGCATTAAAAACACCCCGACCTTTAAATGGAGTTCAGTGGTGGTATTTAGTAGTCTTTTGATAAAGGTGGTTCATCAAAACCAACATCACAGCAGTTTGCTGGCTAATTCTTGAAATGACCTTCAGGTATCCATAGTGTATTTTCTTTCCTGAGTATCATGACTGGAACCACAGCTCTTCTAGCATTTTGTTGATGCGGTCACGCTATAGACTATGGATTCATTATCTTGCCTTTTTGCAGGGCCAGACTGCATACCACCTGACTCTACCCTTAGAAACCCTGAGCACAAAGCAAATGTTAACTTCACTGAAAAATGACACAGAAATTCAATTTTTCCGTGGTCTGCTACTCCCCTAGAGCTTTTCCTAACTTCTTCCTAGGAGAACATTACCTTCCCATGGTTGGGCAGCTCTATCTATATTGTGTGAGCCTTTTTCCCAGGAGGCTTTACTTCCAAGGTTGCTGTCACATAGTCCTTTAGGAGGCCATAGTTCCCAGGCTTCCTACAAGACCTTCAGTTTTTAGGAATGCTCTTTTGGTCCAGTCCACACCTTTTCCTATTTATGTTTTGTTTCTAAGATAAACCTATTCTTGCAGATCAGAAAACACGCTTGTGATTGTGGTTCAACTTCAATGAAATTGGGTTAAAAAAACAATAATACTCCAGGTGAATCTTAGGTGCAAGAGAGATTCAGAATGTTCATGTCTACTGATGACTGGAAATCATTTTCGCATAGGATTGTTGTATGTATCTGTCTTTTAAGGAATTTAATTACACCAGATTATCTATAAGCCCGGAGTTGGGAAAGCTAAAGAAGTTTGTTCAGTTGTGAAAATCAAGGTACTTGCAGTGTGACTTTAGTAGTGATACATCTGAGTATAAAATAATGTACTTCTTTTTCTTTTCCTTCTTTCAGCAAAGTTTCTGTTTGAGAAATACGCATTCACTCGGCAAAGCAAAAACAACTTTTAAAGGTTGTTCTCAGTGGAAAACACTCTATGCCCCATTACCTGCTTGAGTGAAACCAGACTAAGAACTTCTGTCATGGCAGCTTTTCTGCTGGGAGCTGTGTTGCTTATTGTTCAGCCTCAGATAGTGCCTTCCAGAACGGCTATAAATTCGAAGGCTGAGACTTCTCAGTCTGCTCAGAGAGAGCTTTTAAAGAAAACATCTCAAAAAAATGACTTCAAGGAAAACATTCATTCTAATGGATCCTGCCGGCAGCTGCCACAGACTATCATTATTGGAGTGAGAAAAGGTGGAACAAGAGCTTTGTTGGAGATGTTGAGTCTCCATCCAGATATTGCGGCAGCAGAAAGTGAGGTTCATTTCTTTGACTGGGAAGATCATTACAGAAATGGATTGCAGTGGTATATTAATCAAATGCCATTCTCTTATCCCCATCAGATCACCGTCGAAAAAACTCCAGCATATTTCACATCACCTAAAGTGCCTGAAAGAGTTTATAACATGAACCAATCAATGAGACTACTCCTTATTTTAAGAGATCCAAGTGAGAGAGTACTATCAGATTACACCCAAGTGTTCTATAATCACCTGCAGAAGCACAAGCCGTATCCATCCATTGAACAATTCCTGATTAAAGATGGTGAACTGAACGTGGACTACAAGGCAATAAACAGAAGCTTGTACTACATTCACATGCAAAACTGGCTGAAGTATTTTCCTCTTGATCGTATCCACATTGTAGATGGGGATAAACTGATCAAAGATCCCTTCCCAGAAATAGAGAAGGTAGAGAGATTTTTGAAGTTATCGCCACAGATAAATGCTTCAAACTTTTATTTCAATAAAACAAAAGGCTTCTACTGCCTAAGGGACAGTGGTAGGGAGCGTTGTTTACATGAATCAAAAGGACGAGCACACCCACAAATAGATACGCGGTTACTTGAGAAACTGCATGAGTATTTCCATGAACCCAACAAGAAATTTTTTGAGCTTGTGGGCAGAACATTTGACTGGCACTCATTTGTGGCAAGTTAGTGGTAAGCTTCAGAACCTACGTTCCTGTGTACATTTAGAAATCTTAAAAAGGGCATTTAAGCTATAATTTATTTGTAAAATCCATAAATACTTCTGTACAGTATTAGATTCACAATTGCCATATATACTAGTTATATTTTTCTACTTGTTAAATTTGAAAGCATTTTGTATTGTTTTTCATGGTTGTTAACATTGTGTATGATGTGTCTATATGAAGAAACTAAATTATTTCACTGCAGAAGATGCTCTCTTGAGAATGCGTTGTCTTTTTAATAAATAAGAAATTCATTTCAACAGAACCCTTCAGAATTATTTAAATACTTTGGCCTTTCTGGAGTATTCTGGACTTTCTTCTGTAATTGCTAATGAATATGCTAAACTTACATTTCCATTTTTCTTCCTTTAAAATGTGGTTTAATAATTTTTTTCATTTGAAAATATTGTTGTAGTTAGCAAATTGTTCCATCTTGCTTTATAAAATTATTTCCTGATAAGTGGTGGTACTTACACATGTTGGGACATGCACACCCAAAGGAATGGAAGTCTCTGTGTAATATGTCATATTAACTGCTGTACTTACCTTTGTATTTAATGTTATAACAAGTGCTCCTCAAATTCTTTGGCAGTACAGTGCAGGTTTCATGGCAGATTCTTAAAGATTCTGTGGGGACCAACTCATAAAATCCAGAGTTAGCTGCAGAAATATGGTCAACCTGAAAAATTCCTACAGTCTCTGAATGTATATATACTTCATAAAGAAGGAGGGTTGAGAGAAGAATTTAAGCAATATAGGGACATTTTCAAGGCTGCTTATGACTGTTCCTACATTTTATAGCACATTTATGCTTTGCCATCTCTGAAAACGAACATATACCAGGAAAAATCAGTTGGTCTACGTTCTGATAAGCAGCAGCTTCATTCATATAAATATTACTGCATTCATACCCAATGAGGTTGGGTGTTTTCTATGAGTTGAGCAGGTGGTTCATGCAGCTGAAAAGTGCCCATGGACTATTGTTCATTTAATCTCTTTCTAAGAACCATGATGCCAAGTCTTGATTAGACTTGTGTGTTGTGGGATTAACCCCAATTCTAGGAAATTTTATGGTCTTCCATCTGCTAAAAATGGAAGTTAGGTGTTAGTACCTTGGTAAAAATTGCAGCTCTCCTTGTCTAGGGCAGATGTGATGTCTTGTTAGCCATTAATATCTGGAGTTGGAGTTAATCCTGTTTCCACACAAGGCTTACTATGGCTCTTTCATTCTGAGCTCCTAATTTTCATTTTGTGGTCTGGAGTGTGCAGTGGCAACACCCTATAAATTTGAGCTTGTAACTGATTGTTACAATCCTTTATAAAACTCAAATGTAGATCCACTTTTTTTTTTCTGGTGAGATGGTGCAAACTTGGGCACTATGACAAGGTATTGTCTGGATGCAAATATCCCATATTATGCTGCTTGCATGAAAATTTGCAGATGCTGCCCCTCTCTCTCCCGCTCCTTGTGCACCTGCCCAAGCTGTATTCAACCTCAGAGAGGTTGGTGGTGTTTTATAAGGCAGACCTTTGACGAAAGCCTACAATGAAATGGTGTTGTACTCAATAAAATATTTTCGGAGTTGCATCTTTCCTTTCTCTTTTGTTCATCAGTTCCTAGTTTGGAAGACCAGAATTTAGGATTCAACTCCAGTTTAGATTCCAGTTAAATTTTACTTAAGGATTTAGCTATAGCATAGTGGATTGATTAGAAAGTTGTTTGCTAGTGGGTTGTGCCTGCAGGGACCGTTGCTGACCTAGAATATACAAAAAGGCAGGAAAGTTTCTGGTAGAAATAATGTAAAATCTTACATGGGACAGATGCCAAAAATAACAGGATTATAGTATGATCGTGCTCCTATTAAAATTTTAGAAAAGAGAAATTCAGGGGGTTTTGTGTAAGGTGGGGCAGTGTTTTTTTCTATGCTCACTATTATCCTGTGTCCTTGCTAATGTGATCTCTGCAGGAGCCATCTGGACTTCAGAGATTTTGGCCCAGATGGAAGGCTTCCCACCTTAGTGTAGTCTCACCGTCATCAGTGCCTCTCTACAGTCCCAGACTAAGCGTACCACATTCACCAACTTTTGGCTGGGAAAGGAAAAATACTACCAGGGTATGTGACCAAGAGCCAGAGGAGTACGAGAAGGCAGGGTTGCATCCAGTTCACCTGCAGCAGGTCATACAGGGCAGCGTAGGGCCAAAGTGTTGAGTTGTGAATGCCAGAGCCATATTGGCACCTGATGTTGGTACCGAGAATACTTTTAGATGTATAATGCTACTTAATACCAGTATCTTGGCTGTCACTAAGCAGGACACATGCACATGTTGCCCCCGGCCCAACATGGCTTGTCTCTGTAGAATGAAAAGTGAGTATGAACCATTGGGTCACTACTACTGTGTTAGTGCTAGGTCCTCATAGCATGTTCTCTGTAGGTTCAGGAGGTGAAGTGACCACGTCAGGGGGACATCCTGAAGCAAAAACTCACATGACTCATGCCCTAGACCCTAAGTTCAAAAGGCTGCACATACAGAATGTGTACGCCTTGTGCAGGGATGGCATGATTGTACAATACCTTATCCTGGAGGTTGCGCAGCTAGCTGTGCGGTAGCTGTGATGGGGATGAACAATGAATCACAGCCACACTAGTAATAGTGTTAATATTTACCTGCCATAGATGTCCTAAGTTCAAGGGTTACAATACTTAAAACTAGGATTCTGAGTGTGAATTTTCAGTTTAACAAGAGCAACATTCACTTTCCACACACACAGTACTGTATTTAAATATATTTGCTGGACTGTTTCTAAAGAAGAGCTAAACAGCAATAAAAGCCAACAGAAGAAAGTGAAGAGAGAATGAAAGAAAGAGGCTGAAGCACATTCCAATTGGGACCATGGGAACAGTAATAGTGAGCTTTGAAGTCACGCCATATCTATTCATAAAAGAAAAAAAAAAATCCCTGGAAATACCTTTCCAGTGTTGTGCAATACAGGTATTTATTTCTGTGAAACTCTACCATCTCAGGTTTAAAGTACAACCACTTGGGTGTTGCTCCAGAGGCCTGTTTCCTCAGGGCAGCTAGCCAAGTCTGTGATCACTCTTGCAAATATAAAATAAAAACAACACTTTATGAGCATTCAGTGTCCACGTCAAAACCTACCGCTCCCCATGAGTACAAGAAAAAATGCCAATCAAGTCATTAATTAGGGTGGCACTGCAGGACTAAGCCTTGCCCTTTGCTTCACAACACGGATTAGTGTGAGTCTTTGAAAGCCAGATATTCTACCTGCAGAGGACAAAGTTTAAACTATAATGATTGTCCCATGAACACTGCTGAAAGAGTATGGAAAGGGAACGAAATCTCCCAGGAAAAAAACCCGAAGTTATCACTTCATTGAGAATATTGCTACATCTGCTGGCAGTGCTGTATAATTCTTTTACATATGCTATGCTGTTCCTCATACCTTTTTTCCTGATGTTGTAGGTGAAATAATATCTACTGTTCCCGAATAAATCAACATTGTTTTGGAACATCTCAGAAAAAAATCCATCCTTTTTTTAATCTTGCTTGAGTCTATTTGCATTGGGAATATGGTAGTGGTACTCTCATTGATGAGTGTGTGAGACTTAGTGCCACAGAATATTTTAAGTGAAAACTTCGTTATGTTGGGGCTCAAGGCTGAGCATTTCATGTTTCCTTGTCTGTGTGCATTTTCAGACTCAGTTTCTGAAGAAAGTCAGGATTTTCATTTGTTGTCATCCACAAAGATTTCAAATGTGTAAAGAGAACTAAAATGGGGTAAGGCATATTGCCATGTATCTTTCTTCTGCATTATCTAGCTTGGCTGACCAGACATTTAAGAGTTCACACATGCACCCCACAAGTAAGAGGCTGTACATCATAACTACTTCTCAGAGGAATAGCTTTTCTCCTTTCTCTTTTTTAAAGTCTGCGACTTGTAAGTCCTAAATTAGCTCACATTGTGAATGAAATTTTGCAGGATTATATTAGTACATGTTCTGCAATATAGTAATAAAGTGACAAAAAGTAGAATAAGGCAAAAGTATTAAATTAAACTATCACATGTCAACAAAGCGTGTTGAACTTGCTACTAGGTATATACCAGCAGAAATATTTGCACGTATGTGCCCCTACAGCTGTAACATTATTCGTTTCTCATTCTTAACCAGGTAACTTTTATTTATATGACTCTGCCTAAGTGTCCAGTTATGCTGGAAAGGTTATATGTTCAATGTTAATGTCTTCATTTTACAATTGTATTGGAAAGGCCAGTTACAGATGGAGGCCATGCAACTATCTTATGAGTAAAAAAAACCCTTTTATTAATATTTTGCGTACCAAAAATAAATGAAATTGCATTTATATTTTTGAGAATATTAGCAAAGGAGAGCAGTACTCTCTTTTCTTGCAACAATAACCCATCCACAGTAAATTTTCTACTTAACTACCCACAACAGTTGATGCAGTTTTTAAGTTAATAGTGCAATAAACTCAACAGTGATGCTGCAGATTTTAAATGCCTTCTGGGATATATAAAATATGCAAGTCAGGGTGGGGAGCAGCTGGATGCATGGGAACAGCTGGTCTCATTGGTCTGAGAATGCTTTTTTTTAATGATATGGGATGTGAATTTTTTTGGCTTGGATATCACTTTGTGTTGTCTGTGAAAGCAATGTCTTCACTTGACTTCCAAGTCAATAATACCATCATTATGACATCATCTTTTTCCTTAATATTGACATTAGACTCTGCCAAAACACAGTTAAGATCCAAACCCCAAACAGGAGGTGCATGAGGGATCCCTTAGTATAAAAACATTTGTAATACAACTCAGCTTCAATTATGAAGGCACATTGGCTTGGACAAAGGACTGTTCTGAAGTGAATGGCAAAATTCTTCTTTAGTTTGGATGAGGGTTACAGAAACAGGAACCTGTATGGATTCACAGTAAAACAGTAGAACAACTAACATACCCTCCCCTCCTTGGTTTTCAATCAATCAGTCAGCAGTATTTCAACAATAATGAACAGGCCACCTTCCAGGAGTCAACACAGTTCAGTCCAGATAACGCTCAGTTACAAAAGGAAGGGTTCTTGCAGTATTTCTCACACCAGACAGACTTCTCAGGGTATCTTCTATTACTGAATTTTGTGAAATTCCTCTTTCCCCTCCACTGTGCTGATGT